ATCCTCACTTGTAAAAGTTCTCAGATTTGAAATACTGATATACAGGGTAGTTCACAATGAAATATTAGCATTACATATAATATAATAATAATAAAATATGAAGAAAAAAAATAATAATAATAAAATACCAAGCTCCTTTATACTACAATGACCAGGCGGATAATAGCAAACAAGTACATGTAATCAAATTATTATTAATAATAATCATATTATTACGGTGGGCGGAGCTCTTTTTGATTGATCCTGTCACAAATCATTTAGAGAACTCGACAGGTTCTGTATCGTAGATACAAATTTGGGGATGGAGACTCGTGCTGCGCACTCGTTCACCCCAAAATTTGTATGTACGATATAGAACCCGTTTCGTTCTCTAAATAATACTTAAAATAACACTGATTTTTCCAAATTAAATTAAGTACAGCTCCGTAAAAAAATCATACAAAATAGGCATATAGGTGATATATGAAGGTTCTCAGAATTTCATGATTTTCTACTCATAGATTTCTCTCACACTATGAACCATGAATGCAAAAAAGAAATGTTTTGGTTCATGGTTACTATGGAAACGAGAGTAAAGGAAATTTTCTTAGCAAACAGCCAATTTTTAGCTTTGATAAACAAAAAAATATCTTAGTTTTCGAGCACTAATTAAATGTAACTACTAAAGGAATTTCTTTTTTATTGCTTTTATTCTCAAGAATAACATCTTAAGTGCTTTCACAATTAAAGACATAGAAATATAATTTAAGATATTTGTATGATAGATATGGGTATATATACATGTTTTACCTTTTTTGCTGACTCGGCATTTTCACTGATTTTGGAATTATTCAATGTCGAATTACTCAAATGATGGACCTGATACAGACATCGTGTGTACATAATATAAAAGCAGAGGATATTTTCTTTTAGAATTTGAATTCCGAAGCGTATAATTTTTCCTATTCGTTGCCTAGCAACAAAAATGGATGTTTTTATGAATAAAAAAGAGAAAAAATGTAAAATCCTGAACTCATAAATCACATAACTTCTTAACTTTAAATACTTTGAATAAATTAAAAAATGAATTACAATTTTTGAAACTTTTCTACAAATTAGGGACCATTTTACAATTTCATATCTCCATGGTAACAGCAATTTCTACATAGCAACACATCATAGAATGTTATTTTTAGCACGTCCATGTATAATTGTTAAAGATTCTTCAATCCGTTTTTATTTAACTTTAATCAGGCAGATGTAAAAATGCAATTAGCATCTTATAATTTTCTTTTTAACCCATGGCAACGTTTTTGAGCACATAACAAACAATATAATCTATGAAGAGTTGATAGTCATACTCTGTTTCGCACTTCAACAGTTTTTGGTATACAGAATCAAGATTACGTGACATTCATTATTGACATATAAAATGATTGCTGGTAGAAAATATGTATTAATATACATGTATACATTCTGCAAACAAGTCTTAAAAAATTAATCTTAGAATATATCATTACATTTTTGTCTCTCCTTTTTCATGCCGAGTTCATTCATGTTTCTAAAAGAAAAGAAAAACGAGCATACACGCACGGATTTACAAGTTTTGAAAAAAAAATGTTAATGAACTTTGTTAATCGGCATTTTATGAAAGAAATGAATTCAATATTTTTATTAAAATATTTAATAACCAAAATGTTGTGTAAATATGCTTCATTAGAACGATGATAAAAGATAAAGTCAAAAACCTGGAAAGTGCCTGTTAAATGATCATATTTCATCGTGATTTTTTTGTTGCCATTGCTAACGAAACATTAAAAGAGAGATTGCAATCTAAGATATATTGATCCAACATATATGTATATGATTTTAAACAATAAACCTTTTAAAATTATTCATTTTAACTATTCATTTTAATTGTCAAAGACATTTAAGAGCTGGTTCTGAGGCATTTAAAATTAATAGATGATGTTATGGATTAAAAAATCCCGCTTCAATTTAACATTTTCAGTATGCTTGCATGGTTGAAAAATATTTACAGTTAAAAATCATAGCTTATAAAAACAAAGTGATTTTATAGCTAGTTGTAAGGGGGTCAGCATTTCTACTTAAGTCGTAGGTCTTTTAAAGATCATTTTGTTTGTTGTTTATCTCATTGACCTCCCCTTTCCAACTTCCACCACTTTTTAAAATTTCATTCCTAATTTAGATTAAAAAAGAAGTTTTATAAAATAAGTTTATCCATAAAAAAAAGATATGGACCGGATACGAATTCTGAAGTTTTTCTTTCAGTGACCTTACACTTGCCAAAAGGAACTTGGGTCAAGGTCTTGACACACCCTACGATCATAAACAATATTTTTTTCAAGTACTAGATTCAAGTTTATCCGTAAGAAAAATATGGATTGGACACAAATTTCAAACATTTTCTGTCAGTGACCTTGAACTTGCAAAAATAACCTTGGGTCAAGGAAATGACACACCCTTAGGTCATACCAATCTTTATTTAAAATGGGAACTCACCAAGTTTATCCGTAAGAAAGATATGGACCGAACCTATATGGTACAATGAATCTTACATCACTGAATTCACGGGAGGGGGCTTCCTCTAACATTTCGATACTTTTTTTCTTTCAAATGCCTGAATTTGCATAGTTTAGTTTGACCTTCCGGTAACAAAAGGGGTGGGGGCTTCCAATCAAAACTTACATATCAAAAATACAGCAAAAGATAATTCTCAGAAAAAGTGAGTCTCCCTCCCACCGCATACTGCCGGGACAATTCAGACAATTCTCTTAATTCATTAAAATTTCTCAATAATATATTCTTGTCATGTTTATGCATACTCCTTTTTGTGATTTTTTATGCACATGTTTAAAAGTTAGTTTCTTAAAAAGATGATCCAAAAATGGCATAGCTAAAGTTTGCTGGAATTTTCAGATGAAATCAAAGTGAAACCTTGCATGTAACTTTTGGGTGGTTGGTACCCAGGGCCAAGGTTTTGAAGTTACGTGAAGGAAAGGAAATACGCAAAACTCTATCTAGCGAGCAGAAAGGGCAGATATTGATCTACTTATTTCATTCAAAATATTAGATCTAAAAATATCTATAATAATACAGAAAATCAAAATCTCTCTCTCTCTCTCTCTCTCTCTCTCTCTCTCTCTCTCTCTCTCATTTTCTGCAAATTGAAGGGGACGTTTCACCCCCCCTCTGGATCCGCCAATGAAAGCATGTAAAATCCACCACATGCAAAGGCGGATCTTGTAAACCCCCCCCCCCCTTGATTTTTTTTTTTTAAATTTTGTTTGTATTATCCTATAATCAAGGAAACACCTGTTTTGTTAGAATTCCTCACTGAAAAACTGCTGCGGGCTTCAGTGCAGCCCTTACCCCCCCCCCCCCTCCCATGCCTTCTACTGTGCCCCCATAATGAAAATCCTGAAATTAAACGAATTACATTTATAACGAATTAGATTCCAATCCATGGCACTTTAATGTTTTACTGTCTATAGAAAAGTTTGAATTTCTTTCCTCAAGAATAACAAAGCCATGATTATTATTAGTAATATTAATTCAGAAGCATCCTAAGTGCAGATTCAAGTTTGTTCAAATAATGGCTTAGGGTGGTGATCACAATAGACGATAAAACGTGTAAAAAAAAATTTGTAAAGCTATGATTAGGTGAAAAAATGAGGAAGCATCTTCAATTAGTCAAATAATTCAAGGCCACTATCTTATTTCAAGTTTTCAATACCAAACTTTGAAGATCTGACTTTTTTAAATTCACTACTACATTACCCTTATTTGGCTATACTACAACAAAAAGTGAGTTATGTTCAAGACACGATGTACATGTAGTTACGATATCGACATAACTTTTCCCCTGCTTTCACTGAAAGTGGGGGTATCAATATCGGTCTGTCTAGCTGGCCGTCCGTCTGTCTGTTTTTCTTTTTGTCTGTAACACTTTCCTTTCCCCGCGATATCTCGAGCACCCTTTTGGATTTCACAATGAAATTTTACATATGACCTAGAGGAGATCCCTACTGATTTTGAGGTCAAAGGTCAAACACCAAGGTCATAATTTTATAACTTTTGTAATTTTCAATACTCTCATTTCCGCACGATATCTCGAGAAACCTTAAGTTTTGCATTGACATTTTATACCACAACTCCATAATGTTCTTAGGAAGACCCCTATTTGTTATACATTGAACATTGACAGAAGGAAAACTCATTAAAACAAAAAGTATTCTAATATACACACAATAATAGAGACAATTCAAATATTATAGCTAGGATCAATATCCTATCTTTTTTTTTTTTTTTTTTTTTTTTTTTTTGCTTCAGTACATACATTTAATAATTCTGAATATCTAGGAGGGGGCTTTGTGGCAACACACTTTGAAAAAATTACGCACTTTTTTTTTCAAAGTGCGATAACATTGGGACAAAATCAACACACTTTGAACTTGTATTTTTCAGTTACGTTTGTAAGTTTTATATGCGTAAAACAAGTAAAGATTTCAGCAACTTTTATCCATATCCAAGAACGTTTTAAAATATTTTTATGTTTTCAAGCCCAATTTCAAAAAAAAAAAACATCATCTACTCTTTTATAAAAAGAGCTGAAATTAAGCATAATTAACTATTTCACATTGATATTAAAATTATTATTCGATTATCATTGAAATCCTTTGCATTCAACAAAGATTTTAAAGCCAAACTGACAATTGTATTGAATTATATGGGTGCAAAATGTAGGCGGGAATAGTGAGTTAGCATACATATTTCTTAATAAAACTTGCCGCAATGTAGTGTTTTATAAAAAAAACATAAATGTCTAAGAGAGAGGGTACAGTATAATCAAGGATTAATGTTAAAATGTACAATTTTATAAGCAACGACAAGATGACTGACATCCATGTTGTGACGAACTCAGCACAGGTTTTACGATTTAAAATAAAATTTAGCAAATGGAAAGTTACAGTCAAAATTATTTAAACACATGAATATGCCCTCATTACCAGCCACAAAAGAATTTGACCCCTTTCTGCGGTGCAGAGGATGTTCTATCCAATTTTTACCCTTGCGATTTGGATATCTTTGGAATGAAACACAAGTCGGCTGAACATGCCTTTCAGTACATTAAGGCAGTAAGATGCGGTGACCCAGATTCGGCCAATATCATCAAAGATGCCGATGATGCCCTTACCGCTCTACGCTTAGGCAAAAAAATAAAATCTAACGAGCAGTGGGATTATACCAAAGAGGCAGTGATGGAGGAGATCTTGGAAAATAAATGTGTCCAGGTCCCTGTTTTCCGCGATAAGTTGTGTACTTCAAAGCAATCGACAGTATTCGTTGAAGCAACATACAACAACGAATGGGGCTCAGGGCTTGACCGTGATGGTACATGCAACACCAAACCCGAACAGTGGCCAGGAAAAAATATTCTTGGTGTCCTGATGATAAAAATCGCAAGAAAAGTTCGAAAGCGAAAGCTGAGTGATTCAGCAAAAAACGAAAGAAAACAAAAACAAAAAGATCATTCGAAACAAAAAACAATACCGCAAATGCTTAATAATCTGAGAGAAATGTCCGACAGTGATGAACCTAGCACGGAGAGTTGTGATGATGATACGTGTAAGTAACTGTATTATCTCCGGTCAGACTGATGCAGCATTTCATGAACTTCGGTATGTGCTCAGTTATATCTATTTACAGACAATTTTGGCATACTTTAAAAATGCTGTAATGAATTGGTATGTTCTATTTTTACTTGTTAAGTGATAAGACCTAATTTATCCCCCCTCCCTTTTTATAACATTATTACACATTTATATCAACCATACAAATGAACAATTTAAGTTTACTTTCGGTGAATGTAAGAGGTCTTAATTCGCCGGAAAAAAAGCAAAAATCTTTACATGGTTAGAAGAGTGTAAAATAGATATTATACTTTTACAAGAAACTCATTTTGTTGAAAAACATGTAGAAAACTATAATAGAAAATGGAATGGGAAAATAGTTCATGCTTTTTCAGATTCTCCTTTTAGTAGAGGAGTTTCTATTCTTTTTAGACAAGAATGTAATGTAGATATTTTAAATGCCCATAAGTCTAATGATGGTAGGAAAATACTTGTTAATGTAAAAATAGACGATGACTCATTTACAATTATTAACGTTTACGCACCTAATAAAGAGTCAGATAGATTAGCCTTCTTAACAATTCTTAATTCATATATTTCTTCGTTTTCTGCGCAAAATAGTACAATCATAATAGGAGGTGATTTTAATTGCAATTTTGATAAAGAAAATGATAAATCCAATAAAAAATTAAATAAACTATTAAATAAATTCGACTTAGTCGACGTATGGCTTAATAAAAATTCTAATATCAACGGTAAAAAATATCATTGTCAGACGAATTCCTGGTACTCACAATAATGGTTAAGTGACCACAGATATCTTAAATGTACTTTAAATCTTAGTAAATTAGATAGAGGTGCAGGTTACTGGAAATTGAATGTATCTCACCTTGACAATGATGATTACAAACATGGTATAGAGGAAATATTTAACAATATTGATGAAACGCTAGATCCAATTTTAAAATGGGAAACGTTTAAAATAAGTGTACGTGATTATTCTATTAAATACGCGAAACAATCCAAACATAATATAAATATAAAGTAAAATTACTTGAGGAAAAAATCGATAAAATTGAATGTTTGCCTAGTCTAGAAATTGATATGAATGAAAAGCGAAAACTAGAGAAAGAATTAGATGCAATGTATGATGAAATTGCTAAAGGAGCTCAAATAAGATCAAAAGCGCAATGGATAAGCGAAGGAGAGCGAAATACTAGTTTCTTTCTAGGTTTGGAAAAGAAACATCAAACGAATAATACAATAACTGAATTAAAAAAGAATAATAAAACCATTGCAAGTAATAGTGAAATTTTACAAGAAATGTGTCTTTTTTACGAAAACTTATATACAAGCAAATCTGTTGATGGTAACAATATTTCTTCATATCTACAAGACATTGAATGTCCAAAACTCAGTGATCGCGATAGAAAGTTTTGTGACACATTTCCAACATTTGATGAATGCTCTGATGTGGTATACAATTTAAAAAGTAACAAATCTCCCGGATTAGATGGATTACCAGGGGAATTTTATAAATGTTTTTGGAATAAGATTGGTCCTCTCTTTTACGATGTAATATTAACTATATTTGAAAAAGACGAATTACCATATTCTCAGCGATTGGCACTTATCACTCTTTTATTTAAAAAGGGCGACAAGAATAATCTTAAAAACTATAGACCATTGAGTTTAACAAATACCGATTACAAGATTATAGCTTTTGTTCTAGCCAAAAAATTACAAAGCGTCATAGATAAATTAATTAGTAATGAACAATCAGCATATATCAAAGGTCGTTACATAGGTATTAATGCAAGATTGATTTTAGACATTTATGAATATTGCATGGATAATGAAAAAGACGGAATATTACTATTTTTAGATTTTGAAAAAGCTTTTGATTCAGTCGAGTGGAATTTTCTTTTTCAAGTTCTAAAAAAATTTAACTTCGGTGATAATTTTCTTCAATGGATCCAAATTCTATATAATAAACCAATATTCAGAATTAAAAATAATGGTTGGATTTCTAAAACATGTAGCATGAATAGAGGTATCAGAAAAGGATGTCCTATTTCAGCTCTATTGTATCTATTTGTGGCAGAAATACTGGCCTTAAAAATTAAAAATAACAATGAAATACAGGGTATTAATGTTTTAAACATGAAAAGGGATATTAAAAATATTCAGCATGCAGACGATATCACATTGGCTTTAAAAGATATATCTTCTTTGAATGTTGCAGTTAAGACTGTTAATGATTTTTGTAAACACGCTGGTTCAAAGGTCAATATAAGCAAAACACAATGTATATTATTGGGCAGTCTAAAAGATAAATACACTAACATAGACGGCATACATGTAACAAATGATGCTGTTTGATGTTTAGGTATACACATTGGCCATAATAAAATTCAATGTTATGAATTGAACTGGCTAAAGACTTTTCAAAACATGGAAAAACTCTTTGAATCGTGGAAAAAAAGAAAATTGACTATTTTTGGGAAATCATGTGTCGTTAACTCTTTAGCTACGTCAAAACTTATATACATGGGTTCAATATTACCAATGCCCGATCCCGAACATATTCGACAAATTAAGAGAAACATATTTAACTTCATATGGAATAAGCGCGATAGAATTAAAAGAGATACTGTGATCGGAAAACAAGAAGATGGAGGTATAGGTGTGATAGATATTGAATTGAAATTCAAGGCCTTAAAGGCGGCATGGGCTAGATACTTGATAGACAAAAAGTGTATAATAGGCGAAATAATAAGAGGATATTTAAATAGTCTTAATATTGATATCAACTATCTATTATCATTATCGGAGACAAAATCACCAGACTTTAAAATCATTTCAAACATGTCGGTTTTTTATAAAGAAGTATTTTGCAGTTTTAATGATTGTAAAAGATACATCGATGAAACTAAATTGTCTAATGTAAGTTTTGCTCAGCAACCAATATGGAATAATAATATGTTTAAATATGAAAACAAAACAATATGTTACAAAAATTGGATCAAAAGTGGGATAACACATGTTAAAGACCTTTTTAATAAAAATGGAAAATTTAAAACTCTACAAGAATTGTCCGATGATTTAAAACAAAAATCAAATTGGATGTGTGAATACAAAATATTAAAAACAGCGATCTATAAAAAATCTTTAAGATTCAATATGACTTGCTGTGCATACATACAGAATATAGGGGAGCGTTATTTTGATTTTGTAAATGGTGTATATTGTATTGAAGATAAAAAATGTAATTTTTTTTACGATAATTTACTCTGTAAGAAATTTAAAGCCCCAAGCCATCAATTAATGTATAAAAAATTATTTTCTGTTGCTCAAGAGAGTTGGAAGGATATATATAGAAATAAGGTTAAAGACATCTATGACAAAAGAATATGTGAATTTAACTATAAATTGTTGAATAATATATTGTGTTGTAACAGTTTTCTTTTTAAATGCAAATATAGAACTTCTGCTTTATGTAATATGTGTGATGAAATTGAAGATATTAAACATTTACTTTTTGATTGTGATCATGTTCATATACTATGGAAAAATCTGAGTTCTGTGTTAAATTTTGATGTACAGTGGAAACATGTCGTCCTAGGTTTTTATTTTGAACGGAATTCCAAAATACAATTTTTAAATACTTTTCTTTCTTTTTTAGCATACAAGATATATAAATTTAAAATGTTTTGTAGAGTTCAGAACAAAACTGAAACAGAAGATTTGTTATATTCCTATGTAAAAACAAATATTATAAACAATATGAACATTTTACTGAATTCAACAAAAACTCACATGTATAAAAATAAGATGGTGACATTTGTAGAAATGCTTTAACTAAATATATGTTACTCTATTTTTTTGTTATACTAACTATCCTGGCCCGGGTTAGTTAGGAATTGTAAACGGGTTTGCATATTAATGATTAATAAAATTATTAAAATTTAAAAAAAAAAAAAAAAAAAAAAAGAAAAACAACATGAATATTTACATTCGTTTCCATGGCAACATTTTTGGTTTGGGTTTTAAAGACTTGATTGCATAATTTATAAATTTACGTGTATCTTCAAATTCTTTTGGCAATCATTTTAAATACCCAATTTTCCGTGAAATTGATTGTGTATACCAAAACTGTTGAAATGCTTTCAACTTTTCATACATTATATATTGGTTGTTATGTGCTAAAAAGCGTTGCCATGGATTATAAGAATTAAAGTAAAAAACTTTTATAAGATGCTAATTGCATTTTTACATCTGCCTGATTAAATTTTTACAAAATGGATTGAAGAATCTTTAACAATTGTACATGGACGTGCTGAAAATATCATTCTATGATGTGTTGCTATGGAGAAATTACTGTTACCATGGAGAGATGAAATTGTAAAATGGTTCCTAATTTGAAGAAAAGATTCAAAATTCTTATTCATTTCAAAGTTTATTCAAAGTATTGAAAGATAAGAAGTAATGTGATTTATGACTTCAGGATTTTTCACTTTTCTCTTTTTTATTATAAGAATATCCATTTTTGTTGCTAGGCAACGAATAGAAATTTCAAAAAATTATACGCTTCGAATTCAAATTCTAAAAGAAAAAATCCTCTGCTTTTATATTATATACACACGATGTGTGTATCAGGTCCATCATTTGAGTAATTCGATATGAATAATTCCAAAATCAGTGAAAATGCTGAGTCAGCAAAAAAGGTAAAACATGTATATATACCCATATCTATCATACAAATATCTTAAATTATATTTCTATGTCTTTTATTGTGAAAGCACTTATGGAGCGACTTCATTTGGAACTATTGTACAAACTATAGTTACTCGCGTAACATATGAACAGGTTTTTTATCAACAAAAGTGACATCACTTCAACTTTGACCTTTATCCGTGATGAACACACGTAGGACCCTTATACTCCTGTGGTAAGCGAAGATCAAATATGGCGGAAACAGTAGACACGTGAGTGCAGAGAAGTTGATTTTAATTGTTTTCAGGCTTTGTGCAATGATTTTGATTAAGTTTTCTAGTGTTTTCGTATTTTACATGCCGTCACTTTTATTTTGCATGATTTTAAAAAACTAATATGTTTTACGGTGTGACCGTTGGGGCGAGCGCAGTTGTACCATCAAAAACACTTGAGATCAGCCACTTCGAACGTCAAGCCGCGCGAGACATCTCGACTAGCTGTGACGTCATACGACGTCACGAAGCTCGTCGGAGCTTACGGAGACAGCCGAGCCACTCTCCCATGCAGAGTTGTCGTCGATGGTAGAGAGTGAATGTATGAGCCGATGGTAGAGAGTGCAGCCGAGCGTCTGTTTGAAACTATAGAACTAGTGCAATTTGGGTCGAAAAACATTGCAGAGTTATTTCTTGTTTCTTTGAAAGATTTCTACAAACTGAAAGCCTGATATATACATTACGTTATTATTTATTTATTTATTCGGCAATATTCGCGCAAAGGACATTGGGTAGTGCAGGAATTCTGGGAATGTTGCAAAGAGAAATTTTTTTGGCTGACGTATGTACAGATTTCAATCCGAATTTCCTCTGTTCTTACACGTTAGTCTATTGAGCTCGCTTCGCGACGCTCGCTGCGCTCGCTATAATGCGTTATAGGTCGCTAAAAATGTATGGATCTGAATTTTTCTGATCCATGTAGAGAAACTAGTTATCGGTGCCTCTAAAATTGAAATCTGGATGCGCGAGCAAGGAGGGGAAGATGGGGGTGGGGGTGGGGGGTAACAGACGATGACAAAACTGTAAATAAAGGTCATCACTGTGTGACAAACTGAAATACTTGAGCCCCTAAACATTTCACATGTAGCGTATGCACTTTTGTTTTTAAGCTAAGCTTTCACAATTTTATAGCTTATATTGCATTACCTTTATTTGAAATCAACTTACATGTAAGTTAAATTCAGACATATCACTATCAGATTTAGTCAACGGTCAGCTGGTCAGCACTTGTATGTTATCATAATCAAAATTATTTTTTTATATAGAATAATAGAATAAATTTAATGAGACAACCTCACAACAATTTGAAAAATATTTAGAAATATAATTTTAAAAATAATCACAGGTTTCCAATTTCCAAATTGCTAGCATGTTATTGTGTCATTTTAAAAGAAGATATTTTATTTTCTGTTCACTGTTTTCTACCTAAATCTGGTTTAGTACTTAATTATAATGCTCTGTTTTAATTTAGAGTTCAAATCACAGTGAGGAGGAGGAACACAGGACAGGAATGTACTTGTGTTATGTCCAAGGATCTTGCAACATTTTTGAAGGATCCCAAAGGAGGTAGGTATAATATTTTTCAGTACAGGAGAGTGGTATGAGAGTGGTATGACAAAAAGATTTCATATATTATAAATGCTTAATTTTTTATTCCTATTAACTGAAATCTCTTAGGTTTTTAACAGAAATAAACTGATTTCTCCCTTCATGGTTGTCACTCATGTTTACCATCTGGTAAAAATGTTTTAAGAAGTAGTCTGGAATCTGTAGCGTTTACCACTTTACATTGTATTTATGTAATTTATTGTTTTTATTATTCAGATCCAGACACTAAGGAATCTATTTACAAACTTATGTTTGATTCTCCATCTGAGTCGCCTTCTGAATCACCTGCCTCAGCTGCATTGCATCCTGAATCAGTGGCTACAAATACACAGAACTTTGAATCACCTGCCATGAACATGCAAAAACCTGAGTCAGATCCTGAATCACCTACTGCAAATGCACAATTACCGCCTGCTAATTCATTGCCAAAGACAGTTCCTATGGAAGATGGTGATCAAAAGGTACATTTTGGCCTTAATTATAATTTGGATGACGGAGACAAAATTCTGAACTGTTATTCCCCCAAACTCTTACAGATATATTATTCTGAATCATCTGAATCTGGGTCTTTTCCATCGTCATGCTTGGCCTCAACAAGATGTTTTACCTCATCTTTATTCACTCCATCTTCTCCTTATCTGTATACAGAAAATAACATGATTCAAGTGGGCCCTAAAACATTTCTGACCCCAGAAGAGTTTCAATCAAATATTAATTTGAAATTAAAAGACTTCAATAGCTATGGAAAGAAGAACAAGAGAAAAAATAGGAAGAAATCTAAATGTTGTAAGCTTATATATATATCATATACATGTATTGCTAAATATTTAATTAAGGCACGTTTATTTTTTTAACAGTTAAAAGTAGAAAAAGTAATGACAGGTGGTTGAGAAAGTGATTTCTTTACTGCAGATGGCTAATTAGACACATTATAAATTAATTAGCTGTGTATTTTGTTCAATAAATAAACTTTTACATCTTTACTTTGACTTTAAATATTGTATAGTCTACATAGCCATCAGAGCAGATTCATTACAAGTACCCTGTTAAATGCACCATAGTTTATATGAAATGCTCTTTCTAAAAGTGTACCTGATATTACATTTATAGAAAATTTAATTCACAAAGAACTCTTTTCAGGTTCACATATGGGACGAAAGTGAAGAAAGGCAACTAATTTTCCAACGAACCAATATGGATGAAGCCTTCCATAAAAACAAAAATCATGACACGTTATGGAATAAAATTTCTGAAAACATGAATGCTGAAGGAATCAAGGTTTCTAAGCTCCAAATCCTGAATAAATTTAGAAATATGAAAAAAAAATACAAAGAAACTATCGACTTAAATAAGCAAACTGGAAATGAAAGAATTGAATATAAGTACCAAAAAGAATTCGATAATTTATTTGGCAACAAACCATCAACCAAAGCAACAGTATCGTTTGACAGTGGTGCAAGTGTTGCAAAGCAAGAGAAAGAGATACCGATAACTGATAAGAAAACAACTGATAAAAAATCAACTCACCCAAAGAAAAGGTCAGCAGAAATGATTTATACTAAAATGGAAACTATGCATAAAGAAATGAGGGAACAGATGCAAAGGCACCAGGAAGAAAAGCTGCAACGCTTTGATAGACTTCTTGATATTTTCGAGAAATCTGTTGATAAAAAGTAAACTTTAAAGTGTCCCAAAATTGCCTACATACATGTATTAGGCTCAATTTAATTTCAGAAACCTCTGATTACCTGCCTTCTTTTTTGTTGTATTTTTACAAGTAGTAAAGGAATATTTTGAATTCATAAACTTTTATGTTACAGATAAACAACCTTTTTCTGTTGATACATAGTTACATGTATTAAACGTGTATTGAACTACAGTTTTAATGTACAGTTGTGTGATTTACCCAAAATATGACAATCATATATTTTTTTTGTCTGTAAATCAGAAAATGAAATTGTTTGTTTTTTTGTTATTTTTGTTGCTCAGATTTTAATTTTGTTAAGTTTGTTGTTCTGAAGAAAGATATTCAATGAAAAAAAACAGTTAAATTAGCTCGCCTTTTTTATTCTGAACTTAAACAATGATGGTTTTAAATTTGTGCAACTAAAAGCAAAAAGTCATGGAAGTCCCTGAACAAGCTGATTCCTCTTTTGCACCCCATCTCTTCCATCAGGGTACAGGTTGGGGTAATTATTAGGGTGTCCATTGCCATCGTTAGGATCATTTGTTAAGAAATCTTCCACACTATCATGATGCAAGATACAAAGATTGTGTAGTATGCAGCCAGATACAATTGTCTTGACAATCTCATCAGAGTCATGTATTCTTATAGTCGTTACTTCTTGTAGTCGCCGAAACCGTTGTTTTAGATGACCAATAGCCCTCTCTACTACCTGTCTTGCAGATGACAAAACTCGATTAAATCTCCTCTGATTTATGTTTAAGCGACCGTTGTCTTTAAACGGAGTTATTAACCAAGCTTTTAATGGATATGCACTGTCTGCTATTATATACTTATTCACGTCAAAGTACTGTCCAGCTGTAGCATTGGTAAAAAGACTTGAATTTCGTAGTACGCGAGCATCGTGAGTTGACCCCGGCCAACCAGTGTATATGTCCCTTAACATTAAATCATCGTCAACTACTACCTGTAATTTAAAAAAAATGTATATTTTTAGTGTGTGTTATTCATTAGCAGGTAGTAACTTACTCAATAGTCAGTATCATATTTATGTTCCCCAAACGAAGTTGGGGAACATATTGTTTTTACTCTGTTTCTTATTAGGGTCTTCCGTCTTCAGCGGAAGACCCTTCTATTATTCTTCGGTTTCTTTTTTACCTTTATTAGGGTCTTCCGTCTCCAACGGAAGACCCTACTATTATTCTATTGTTTCTTTTTCACTTTTATTATTATTATTCTTTTTTTTTCTTTACAATTTTTGTGCAGAAGATTTCTCGGAGATGGCTCGACCGATTTCCTTGAAATTTTCGGAGAAGATGTATCTTCATCTAAACCTTATACGTTTTTTTCATTTTTTTGAAATTCACTTCCGGTCGGAAGTTATCGCCCTTTGATCGAAATTTTGATGACCTCCATGTCTGTGATGGAACTCAATAACGACTCAAGCTAGAAAGCTAATTTTTTCAGGGATGATAATGGACATGTTGCCATATTGCAACATGGTCAGGAAATTTTCCGGAAGTGCCTAGTATGGAAGCTCGGTAGGGGTCAAAATTTAGGACACGTTTTATGACTGATTTTTTGAGACATTTTGCATCATATCTTTTAAAGTATCATTATTTTGTGAAAACATATTGCACAGAATTTGTGCAGAATGACAAGATCTTTAATATGATATCAAGAAAAAAGTGCTGACTCATCACATTAAGGGCAAAAAGGGGCCAAAAGTCTTTTTTCGATAACTCTTTAGCAGTCAATATTTTGTTATACATTACTGAAGCAAAAATGTTTATCTCAACTATCTACAACTATATATTATGATTTGAGTGTCGCATGGTGCATAATAAGGGGCCATAAGGGGCCAGAATACTAAATCTTTGACGCTTTATATCACAAAAGAGGGAAATATTTTGTTAAGTAATATTGAACAAAAGATGTTCAAAATAATGATCTTAACAATATGCAACCTTTAATTTTTCGCTATACGTCCCTTTTAAGGAGTTGAAGGGTTGGCCCCTAAATATTTCTATTGCAAATAACTCGAAAACGAAAGATAATTTCTGAATAGTTGTTGAACAAAAAGTGTTTAAAATTCTGAAAGCTTTAAGATGAGATCAAGAAAAAGGGGCTGGACACTCAAATTAAGGGCTGAGAGGGGCCAAAAGTCTTTTTTCGATAACTCTTTAACAGTCAATATTTTGTTATACATTACTGAAGCAAAAATGTTTATTTCAATAATTTACAACTATATATTATGATTTGAGTGTCGTATGGTGCATAATTAGGGGCCATAAGGGGCCAGAATGCTAAATCTTTGACGCTTTATATCACAAAAGAGGGAAATATTTTGTTAAGTAATATTGATCAAAAGATGTTCAAAATAATGATCTTAACAATATGCAACCTTTAATTTTTCGCTATACGTCCCTTTTAAGGAGTTGAAGGGTTGGCCCCTAAATATTTCTTTTGCAAATAACTTGAAAACGAAAGATAATTTCTGAATAGTTGTTGAACAAAAAGTGTTCAAAATCCTGAGAGCTTAAAGATGAGATCACGAAAAAGGGTCTGGACACTCAAATTAAGGGCCAAGAGGGGCCAAAAGTCTTTTTTCGATAACTCTTTAACAGTCAATATTTTGTTATACATTACTGAAGCAAAAATGTTTATCTCAACTATCTACAACTATATATTATGATTTGAGTATCGTATGGTGCATAATAAGGGGCCATAAGGGGCCAGAATACTAAATCTTTGACGCTTTATATCACAAAAGAGGGAAATATTTTGTTAAGTAATATTGAACAAAAGATGTTCAAAATAATGATCTTAACAATATGCAACCTTTAATTTTTCGCTATACGTCCCTTTTAAGGAGTTGAAGGGTTGGCCCCTAAATATTTCTTTTGCAAATAACTCGAAAACGAAAGATAATTTCTAAATAGTTGTTGAACAAAAAGTGTTTAAAATTCTGAAAGCTTTAAGATGAGATCAAGAAAAAGGGGCTGGACACTCAAATTAAGGGCTGAGAGGGGCCAAAAGTCTTTTTTCGATAACTCTTTAACAGTCAATATTTTGTTATACATTACTGAAGCAAAAATGTTTATCTCAACAATTTACAACTATATATTATGATTTGAGTGTCGTATGGTGCATAATGAGGGGCCATAAGGGGCCAGAATGCTAAATCTTTGACGCTTTATATCACAAAAGAGGGAAATATTTTGTTAAGTAATATTGATCAAAAGATGTTCAAAGTAATGATCTTAACAATATGCAACCTTTAATTTTTCGCTATACGTCCCTTTTAAGGAGTTAAAGGGTTGGCCCCTAAATATTTCTTTTGCAAATAACCTGAAAACGAAAGATAATTTCTGAATAGTTGATGAACAAAAAGTGTTCAAAATCCTGAGAGCTTAAAGATGAGATCACGAAAAAGGGTCTGGACACTCAAATTAAGGGCCAAGAGGGGCCAAAAGTCTTTTTTCGATAACTCTTTAACAGTCAATATTTTGTTATACATTACTGAAGCAAAAATGTTTATCTCAACTATCTACAACTATATATTATGATTTGAGTATCGTATGGTGCATAATAAGGGGCCATAAGGGGCCAGAATACTAAATCTTTGACGCTTTATATCACAAAAGAGGGAAATATTTTGTTAAGTAATATTGAGCAAAATATGTTCAAAATAATGATCTAAACAATATGCAACCTTTAATTTTTCGCTATACGTCCCCTTTTAGGAGTTGAAGGGTTGGCCCCTAAATATTTCTTTTGCAAATAACTCGAAAACGAAAGATAATTTCTGAATAGTTCATGAACAAAAAGTGTTCAAAATCCTGAGAGCTTAGAGATGAGATGAAGAAAAAGGGGCTGGACACTCAAATTAAGGGCCGAGAGGGGCCAAAAGTCTTTTTTCAATAACTCTTTAACAGTCAATATTTTGTTATACATTACTGAAACAAAAATGTTTATTTCAACAATATACAACTATATATTATGATTTGAGTGTCGTATGGTGCATAATTAGGGGCCATAAGGGGCCAGAATGCTAAATCTTTGACGCTTTATATCACAAAAGAGGGAAATATTTTGTTAAGTAATATTGAACAAAAGATGTTCAAAATAATGATCTTAACAATATGCAACCTTTAATTTTTCGCTATACGTCCCTTTTAAGGAGTTGAAGGGTTGGCCCCTAAATATTTCTTTTGCAAATAACTCGAAAACGAAAGATAATTTCTGAATAGTTGTTGAACAAAAAGTGTTCAAAATCCTGAGAGCTTAAAGATGAGATCAAGAAAAAGGGTCTGGACACTCAAATTAAGGGCCAAGAGGAGCCAAAAGTCTTTTTTCGATAACTCTTTAACAGTCAATATTTTGTTATACATTACTGAAGCAAAAATGTTTATCTCAACAATCTACAACTATATATTATGATTTGAGTATCGTATGGTGCATAATAAGGGGCCATAAGGGGCCAGAATACTAAATCTTTGATGCTTTATATCACAAAAGAGGGAAATATTTTGTTACGTAATATTGAACAAAAGATGTTCAAAATAATGATCTAAACAATCGGCAACCTTTTATTTTTCGCTATACGTCCCCTTTAAGAAGTTGAAGGGTTGGCCCCTAAATATTTCTTTTGCAAATAACTCGAAAACGAAAGATAATTTCTGAATAGTTGTTGAACAAAAAGTGTTCAAAATCCTAAAAGCTTTAAGATGAGATAAAAAAAAAAGGCTGATCCCTAATATTAGGGGCCTTGAGGGGCCAAAAGTCGATTTTTTGTTTGTTTACAGAAATGTTCAATGTATGTTTACAGACCTGAAAGCAAAATTGTTTTTCTTTACAATCTTCATCCTTATATAAATTATTTTAGAATGAAATTCTCAATCAAAATCTTATCTCATCAAGAATCGGACGGAAGACCCACTCGTTGCTCGCAACGAGATCGTATCTAGTTAAGGTCTTCCGTCTTCAGCGGAAGACCTTCTTGTTATTCTTAGGTTTCTTTTCCACTATTTTTAAGGTCTTCCGTCTTCAGCGGAAGACCTTCTTGTTATTCTTAGGTTTCTTTTCCACTATTTTTATTATTTTTATTGTTTTTTTTCTTACCGATTTTGTGTACAGGATTTCTCAAAAACGGCTCGCTCGATTTTCATGAAACTTTCAGGACTGATAAAGCATCAAACAAAGTTGATATATAATTTTTTGTTTTGATGACGTCACTTCCGGTTTTGAGATTTTTGCGATTTAGTGATTTTCAGGGGGTCAGTTTGTCCGCGAGTTTTCTCAAAAGCGGCTTAAGATATAAACTTGATTTTTTTTAGCAATGATAGAGCAGTGTCTGTAGATGTGACATACGCATTTCTTTTTTACCGGAAGTGCTGCACGCCGACGCTCGCTATGGTCCAAAAATGGACATGTCGAGAATTTTAAAATTTCTAACACCTTTTCTTCGATATCTTTTCACATACAAATATTTTGTTAAGAGATATAGAACAAAAGAAGTGTAGAATTACATGATCTTTCGAATGATATCTCGTAAAAAGGGCTGGCCCCTAAAATAAAGGGCCTAGAGGGGCCGAAAGTATTTCCTTTATATCTCAAAAAGTATTGAGAATTTGTTATACGTCTAAAAAGCAAAGTTGTTTAAAATGTCAAGCTTAATCTTTTGAAGTCGTCAAAATGCGTCCGGCGACGTCACTTCCGGTCATACCGGAAGTCGTCAGAATATGCATATTTTTGCCGTTCTTGAGATATTTTTGGGTAACATATGTATCTGGAAGCATAAAACTTCATTTTCTGTCCGTTGACATCACTTCCGGTCAAACCGGAAGTGACCGGAAGTAGCCAAAAATAGCTTATTTTTGAAGGTTTAAATACAAAATCAAAATTATAAAGTCAATGGAGACCACTTAGCTCATTTGCTTTCATTTGTTGACATCACTTCCGGTC